CTAGGCCTTGCTCTGCACAAAGGGAACCGAAATTCTGTCTCCAGGATACCTGGGCCCAGCAAGTGAGGGCCCACAGGGGTGGGGGTGCAACCTTCAGAAGTCAGGGAGAGCCTGCAGCCTCTGGATGGAGGCCAGGTGATGGCCACTTGTGTAGGCCACTGGCCTGCATCTGACACCCAGGTCCGACACCCCTGTCTTCTCCAGGGGAGCTGGGAAACCAGCGATCCAGCCTCTGTTTTGTGGAGACTCACAAAGTGGCCCTCGTATATCCCTATCCTGTCTGGGCCTTAGTTTCCCTCACCGATTCTTGGTGTTTTCTCCACTACAGGTACACAGGGCAGCCCAACGAAGCCTTAAAGTTCCTGAACAAGGCTCGTAAGGACCGCACTTGGAGCCAGAGCGCCATCTACCACATGGTGCAGATCTGTCTGAATCCAGACAATGAGGTTGTGGGCGGAGAGGCTTTTGAGAACCAGGAGGCTGAGATCAAGTAAGGGCACGTGGGGGTAGGGACGGAACCCTGGGGAAATTAGGGAGAGTCCGCAGCCCCTGGGTGGAAGCCGCATGAGGGCCACAGGGGCAGGCCACCGGCCTGCATCTGACACCCAGGTCTAATACCTGCAGCTACACGGAGAAAAAGGAGTTGGAGCAGCAGGGTGTGAGCACTGCCGAGAAACTGCTGTGTGAGTTTCACCCACACTCAGCCTCCAGCCAGACCCAGCTGCAGCTGCTGCAGGGCCTCTGCCAGCTGGCCACCAGGGAGAAGGCTAACATGGAGGCTGCGCTGGGCAAATTCCTCCAGATAGCGCAGGCTGAGGTGCAGCTGGTGGGGACTAGAGGGTGTGGGTAGGCAGTGGGGCAGAGGCTGACCACCAAAGCGTGCTGACATCCACCTCCCACCTGGTGTGCAGAAGGAGAGCATTCCTGCCCTGCTGGCCTTGGCACAAGCCTACGTGTTCCTGAAGCAGATCCCCAAGGCACGTATGCAGTTGAAGCGCCTGGCCAAGGCCCCCTGGATGCTGAGTGAGGCTGATGACCTGGAGAAGAGCTGGCTCCTGCTGGCCGACATTTACTGCCAGGGCGGCAAGTTCGACCTCGCCTCGGAACTGCTGCAGCGCTGTGTGCGATACAACAAGGCAAGGGGACACACGCTGGGGCTGCGAGGCTGCAGAGAGTGCTCTGGCTACTCCAGGAGGGCGAAGCAGGCTTTGCAGGCAGAGGCCGTGCAGAATAAGAACTAGTCAGGAAGAGGCGGGCCAAGAGGGGCACATGGGCAACAGAATGGGAGCCAAAATAGGAACGGGGATCAAGGGCAATGGACCAGGTAAGAGGAGGTGCATGGGGGCGGGACATGTCCAGAGGAGGGAACACTACATGGCAGAGAGAGATGGGAAAGGTTCACAGGTTCCAGCCTGGAGGGACTTTTGCAGGTCAGAGCAGGCCAGGAATGGGAGTGGTGGGACAGGAGGTAAAGGGGTTACACCAGCGTCCCGGGTAGCTGAGAGGAAGGCACACAGTTGGCCTCCTGCACAGGTGCAGGTACCCCTGGGGTCCCTTGGCAGTTTGGTTTATGGCAGCTCATGTCCGCCTCTTGCCTGCTTCTGATTCTGGTCCCAGTCCTACCCTGGCTCAGGGAACCAGCTGGGGCTTCCCCTCTGCAGAGGCTCTAACTGGCTTTCCCTGCAGTCCTGCTACAAGGCCTATGAGTACATGGGCTTCATCATGGAGAAGGAGCAGTCCTACAAGGATGCAGTCACCAACTACAAACTGGCCTGGAAGTACAGCCATCACGCCAGCCCTGCCGTTGGTAAGGCAGCCAGCCAGGGTGCGTGTGAATGGGTGTGGGAGGGAGGTGGGCAGGAGGACCCCTGACGTTATCCCAGAACTCAAGGCCTGCACCCTGGCTGTTATGAGAACAGAGGGGTTCTCAGGTCATCAGGGTGCCACCATCTATGCTCTCCATGTCCCTGGTAGGCTTCAGACTTGCTTTCAACTACCTGAAGGACAAGAAATTTGTGGAGGCCATCGAGATCTGCCACGATGTAAGCGGGCAGCCTTGGCAGGGAGGCCTGGCCAGCGGCGGGGAGCCCTGCCTGATCCTGCACTCCCTTCTCTCTCTGTTCCAGGTCCTCAGGGAGAACCCCAACTACCCCAAGATCAGGGAGGAAATTTTGGAAAAGGCCCGAAGGTCCCTGCGGCCCTAGCTGGGGTCAAGGGGCCTGGGCCAGGAGAAGCCGTCAACCTACCGAAGTTGTGTGGAGGGGTGGAAAGTGGGTCAGTGGAGCCGGGACTCAGAAAATGACATATTCTTCCTCATTTCTTTCTTTGTTTTTATTAATTACATTCTTCCCCATTTCTATAGTATATGTGGTTTATTTTGAATCATGTCTCCTCTGACCTAAGGGCCATCCCAAAGCTTTATGTTTTTAAGGCACAATACGTTTTGCTCTGGGAGAAAGACATCAACTGGCTTAACTTTTGCTGGGCTCACTGGGCGTTTTCTGATAGACCTCACTTTTATCCCACACTCTGAGGGGGCAGAGGGGAGCAAAGAGGAGGCTCCTAGTGGAGTGGTGGTTGAAAAGACTCCCCTTCAGCCATTTTTCAATGGTTTTTGTCCTTCTCCTGTCTGGTCTCCAGGATCCTGGAGCTAAAGAAGCAGCTGCCCCTCCCTGCTGTGCTGCCCCCTGAGTCTGCCTGGCAGTGGGCCCAGACGGGAGGACCAGCTGCACAAGGCCCCGCAGCTGAGGCCCCGTGTGAGAGGGCCTGCAGGTTGCAGGGACCACTGTCCCACCCTGTCCATGCATTCTGTTTCCCTTGCCTGCACCACTCCCCACCAAGTCCACCTGGCTGCTTCTGGTCCTGACCAGTTTGAGACAAACCTGACTACCTGTACCTGACACAAGGAAATACATTCCAAGAAAAAATAATTCCCACTTCAGCTAAAAGACATTGGCCACTAACATCCTCCAGAAACCCTTTTAAGGTCTAAGGGGTAAATGCAATGGTCCCTATTTAGATGAGTAATGTTAGTTAATTGCAACTGGCAAGAGGGTGACAAAGGCCACCTTTGCTGTGCTCCCAATATCACTCCTCCTCGATGTCACTAAGGATGGCAGTAATGGGACACTCTGTCCTCGGGGGCTGGAACTCTGAACTAGGAGTCAGGAAGCCTAGGATCTCCTGATGTGACCTATCCAGGTCCCTTCCCCTCTCTGGATCTTAGTGTCCCATTTGTCGCAGGAAGTTAGATGTCTCCCAAATCATGGCACAACTCTCTGCCAGTGATATACAGCAAACATTTCAAAGTTTAGTAACTGTGTTTACACATCATTTTTACATAACAGAAAACCAAGCAGCACAGCAAACTCAGAAATTTATGGGTGCTGTTCTATGAGATGCATTTAGCTTTTAAGCATATTGATATAATTAATTTAAAGAAAGATTATTATCTAAAGAAAAATGATTAGTCGAATGCAGATATGGGCAGTTTTCAAGAGCAGTTGTCCAGTGACTAAGGTTTGGGAACAGTGGACAGATGAGGGTCTCTTTGGAACAGTGTGAGTTCCTTGATGGCCGCTGAGCCTTGTTTTTATAACACACTGCTGATCACAAACATGGTTTTTTGGAGTAAGCTGGGATACCATCCTTCCTGTGGGAACCCAGACCACCAGGGCAGTCAGAGCGACCCTGATTGCCCTTGGAGGAACCTGGGTTTTAGATTGTGCATACTGAAGTAATCTCTACAAAAGGCTCTCCAGGCACCAGTGAAGAAGAGACAGGTCAACTCAATGTACCAGTGTACTCTACCCTGAGAAGCCTAAGGCCTAGTTATTCCTAGCTAAGCTGGTTACCGGGACATACTGCTCACCATAGGCCAGACCCCAAACCATGAGTCCTCTAATGACACCGATATGGCCATGTGGCCATGTCCATGCATGTCCTGAGGCAAGAGACAGATACCTAAAGGGTGACAGGACAGGAGGCAAAAAAGGAAGGATTAAACATATAGAAAAAGAATGGCAGAAACGTGAGAACTGATGGAAATTGCAAACATGTACACGGGACTTGCATGTTCCAGGCACTCTAAGTGCTTTGTAAATATGAACTAAACCAGCTTATGGGGTAAGCAGTGTTACTATTTCCATGCAGTATTGAGGACACCCAGGCACAGAGGGAGTAATTTGCATAGATCACCTCACCAGGTAGTAGAAAATCTGGGATTCAAACCCAGCACTCTGGCTCTGTACTCTTACCAGTTAAGCCAAAGCGATGAGTGAGCCCAGTAGAGACCAAGGCAGAGAAATAGAGCAAGGAGACCCGAATCAGTTCTCCTTTGGTGGTTCCTCCTTCCAGCTCTTGTACAAATCACTATCATTCTTAAGGAGGAGGTCAACCTTTCTTAGGCCCCCAGACTGGGGCTCCTCAGAGCAGGGTGTGGCCTACTCCTCTGGCCTGCAGCCCAGCTGAGCTGCCAGGGACAGGTCAGACAGGTCTGGCTGGTGCAGAGGGATGAGGTTGTGCAGCTGTCCCCTTGCCCTTCCACCACCCCCTGCTTAAGTCCCCAGGGACCACAGCTGCTAAGTAAGGCCATCAGCAGGCCTTGACCAGGCATATCCCTTTGCCCTGCCTCCACTCAGGTTGGTGAATTCACCCTTAGGACAAGGCCTCAGCTCAGTGTGTGTAGGCAGGAGGGTGCCCTCACCCATCCCCAGCAGATAGCCCCATGTCAGAAGACCCTGCTGCTATTCCTCCCCACCCAGGTCACCACTGGAGAAGAACCAGTTAATCCAAAGGAAAAACTGCTGGATCTGCCTGGCCAGCCTCTCAACTGGCTTCCTGCCTCCAACTTGACTGGCTTGCCTGGAAAGAGGCCCAATGAGCTGGGTGTGCCGACTCCTAACCCCCCAACTCAGCCTGTGTCCATGCGGCCCTGCAGGGCCTGTCTCCCTTCCATCCCCATTGCCCTGCTTCCCACCCCACAAATACAGACCACACTGTTAAAAATAAAGCTTCTTTATTGGTACCTGTAAGCTCAGGTACAAGGTGTTCCCACAAGCACACAGGCTGGCAAGGCCTCCTGGGCAAGGGGGCAGGCCCAGAGCCTGCGTTTCTTGGCACAGACACAGAGAGAAATGGAATAAATTATAGTTCTGACACTCGGGGACAATGTAGAAATTATGATGCAAAATTAAACATTAGCAAAGAAACGGTATAAAAGCCCTCAGGAGACACCCCTCGCTAACTGGCCTCAGGGTATGGGCAGGTGGGCCAGGCTGAAGTGCAGTGCCCAGAAAGCCCTGAGATAATAGGCTGGGGCATGGCTCGCGCCCGAGGTAGGCCCCTTGCCCTCTCTGGGCCTCCTGTTTCCTCCTTCCCCCTCCTACATCCCTGGGCCTGGAAGAAAGGCTATGGCCTTTGGGGAGGGGGAAGATGGAACAGAGGGCAGGAAGTGGAGAGGGCAGTGTGGGGCAGAAGGGAGTTTTGGTCACAGCTGGTTAGCCCAGCCTCTCCCCCTGCCCAGATGGTGTCCTTGGCCAGCCCCTGCCTGCAGAGCCATCCAGGAGCCAGGCAGCAGACATAGCTCATAGAGCTCGAATCCACACCTAGTCTACACTAAAGGCAGGGCAGGGTGTAGAAGTACAAGGCAAAAGGGGCTCCTGAGGGCCTGTGCCCACCCCACCACCGGCACTGCCCACCCGCCAGAGAGGAGCAACCAAAGCCTCCTCAATCTCCAAATAAGTTACGGAAATAAATTACAGTCTTCACAGTCCTGAGGATTTAGCCATCCATGGGTCTAGGGCTGAGGGTGGCTTCTGCCACCTGATTTCACAGCCCTGTCTCACGGTCTTTGGGTTAAGGAACATCACACAAAGACCAAGCTCCAGGGAGCCACACTTTCTCCTCTTCCAGGTACACGTTATGGAGATGGAAGAGCAGGCTGTGGGTGTGGGGGGCCTGGCAGCTCAAAGGGGTACCCCCCTCCAATCCTCTTTTCAGCACAGAAAAGTTAAAACAAATAAATAAATCCAGAGTTGTATGAAAACCAGGAGTGTGCGCTTGGCACCTGTGGGTGAGCCAGCCAGTGGGAGACTGTCACACAGAGACTCTGGGGAGCCCCACAATTACAAGAGAGCAGCAACAGGGCTTTGGGGCTGGGAAAAGGCATCCTGGTCCTCACACCGGCACAGGCTCCATCAGAGTTGCTGGGGCAGTGTCCTCAAACTGGCTATCAATAAAGGGATCTAGGGCTTCGGCGGCTGGCTCGGAGAGACCCATGAGGGACTCCAGGAAGCAAATGCTGGCATCCCCAGGTGGACAGGGGCCAGGCAGGGGGAAGTGAGGTGCCTCCATGTTGTCCAGGCCGCCAGACACCTTCTGTGACGTGTAGTGAGGCCCCAGACTATAATCTGGCAGAGCCTGGAGTAACTCAAAGGAGTCACAGGAAGACAAGCTGAGATCCACTGAGCTGCTCTGGCCAGCGTCCATGCCGGGTGGCACTGAGGTGCCAGGAAGGCTGCCTTCTCTTGACCCTTCAAGGCCACCATTTAGGAAGCAGCTGGCATCCAGGTTGGCATTTTCATCCAGGATGCCTGATGCAAAGCTACAGCCAGAATAGCTGTGGGTCCAGCTGGCCAGGCCACCAGGGTCACTAGTACCAAAGATGTCGGCTGGATGGAAGCAGCTGAGGTTGTCCAGGTTCCCCACACTCCTTTCCTCCTCCTCCTCCTCCTCCTCCCCGCCGAGGTCAGAGTCACTGAAACTCAGGATCCGTGCCAGGCTGTCATCATCCATGCCAGGCTGGAAGCCGGAGCCAGGGAGGCCTGGGTGGGTGGGGCAGTCAGGGGCCTCACTAGTGCCCGATGCTGAGGACGATGCCGTGGAGGAATCAGTCATGTCGCTGCTGCAGCTGTTGTCTCCCAGCTCGTTGCTCATTGTGGGCTTGGCCAGTGAGAAAGTGGGGACCAGGGCCTGCTCACCAGGGCTGGGCGGGCTGCCCTGAGCAGGGGCCTCCAGCTCCCTAAAGCTCTCAGCCTCCTGCTCCAACTGCAGGCGGGTGAGTGTATGGATGAAATGGGTCTGAACTCTAGCCTGATTAAACTCCACACGGCCCATGGGGTTCTCACAGCCCTCCTTGCAGCAGCCACAGGGGAACGCGGTGTGGTCCATCTGCAGAGAAAGTAAAGGGACAAGTGAGGATTCTGTGGAGTGCAGACAAGTCCCCAGGCTCAGGTTCCCCATCCCAGCCCGGGCCAGCCGCCACACCTGGCACTTGATGCCTGCCAAGCTGCAGCTGCAGGTCTCAGGGTCGCAGACCCTATCACAGTGACAGCCACAATCTTCCCGGGATTGGCGCAGTGCCAGCAGCTCCCGCTTCTCTTCCCGATCGATCCTTCGCACGCCTGAAGCCCTCAGCAGAGCTTGACGTCGCCGGGCTGGGTATGGCTGTAGGAAGCTCACTTCTTCCAGCCGGCCACCTGCCACAGCAGCTGCCAAGTCCTCCTCCACAGAGGCGTCATCGATGGCATCCACCGCAGGCAGCAGCCCTGCCTCTGTGTCGGGTACCCCAGCGGCCGAAAGCTGCATCATCAGGAGAGAGGGATGTGAGAGGCACACACAAGCCGCCCCAAGTGCTTACCCTCCCACTGCTAGTGCTGAATCTGCGATGGGCACTGTGTGTAGATGGTGAACAGGATAGCCAAGAATACTGTCCTCAGGGCATTTGAAAAGAGACACCCTACTCATGGCATTGCCTAGATCATGAACAGACTCCCTTCCCTAACCAGTCAGATACCCACCCCCCAATCTGTATCAACTCCACATCCCCCTCTCCAAGCAGTTCAGATGCAGGCATCATGCCCCCAGCCCCTGCGGCAGACAGACACGAGTCTGCAGACAACCCAGGCGTCAAACGCCAATGGAACCAATCACTTGGCCCTAGGGCCTGTTTCCCCATATACATAATGAGCAAGTCAGCACCCACCCCTGGTACGCCCACCCCGCAAGGTTAGGAGTCCAGGAGCTGCCTCAGGCTGTGGGCCACAGAGAGGGCTCTCTCTACCTTCCACTGCAGCATCTCCAACTTCTCCTCTTTCAAGCGCTGACGGAGCTTCTCGCGCCGGGCTCGGGCTTGCTCCTGCGCAAACTCAGCCAAAGAGAATCGGCGGCAGGCACTGTGGCGAGGGGCCATGCCCAGAGTGCAGCCGCCACGGCTGGGCACACTGGTGAAGCCCTGGCAACGGGGGAAGTAGAAGACGGTGATCCCATCAAAGGCTACCCGGCCTGGGCGCTCCCGGCGAGCCCGCTTCAGGATAGACAGGGCTGCAAAGCAGGCAAGGACGGGCTGGGGATTAGTTTTTGCTGAGGCACAACATACCTCCAGGAAGAACAGGCCAGACAGCCCTCCCGCCGCCCGCCCGCCGCCCAGCTCCGCCCGCCTCCAGCGCCACACCACGTCAGCACCGGCTTATTGTTATTTACCAGGCCTGGTGACCGTAGTTATACGTAAGGTTACGCATGCTTCCTATGCTTGTTAGCCATGCGTAGGTCCTGTGTAGTTTTCTATTGCTTTTTCTTGATTTATAGAATTTCTGTATTTTGCAACAGGTGTAAAAAGTCTTTCCAAGTTAGTGTTTACTGATTAGTAAACCATGTACTGGTATTTTCACTACATTGAACCATAACAAATTACCATATAATGGTCAAATATTGGAAATTCCTTATATTTAAACTTACTATATTAATTTTGTACCCAGATACCAGAGGGAATTCCCTTCTAAAAGGTTTTGTTTGTAATCTTAGATTCTATGTGCTAAAAATTATACTCTTTTTATGTGTAATGCACACATATACATACACTACATAAAAAGGTAAACAGAACATCTACTGTATTAAAATTTTATGGGGGTGGGGAATTAGGAGAAAGTGTCTAAATAGACTTCCTGGGGAGCAATCATGAAAAATAAAATCCAGAAACACTGCTCTAGGGCTATCTTTGTCAGTCTGGAATCACAATTATACAAGCTTGAAAATAACCAGGAAAAACCCCTTTTCACTTTGTTCAGGCAAAAGCGGGCAGCATTTTGACAGGAGAGGGACTGGCCTGACAGGCCTCCGTGACCCAGAAGCATGGGGCGGGGAACTCCAGCAGTTCCCTTTGTAGGAGGGTAGGGTGCTCATTGGAGAAACGAAACTGGAACAGAAGGGAGGGGCCGGAGCTGGAAGGCGCCGAGGGCACTCTGCAAGCTGCATCCTGGATGTCATTACTCCCAAGGTCAAAGGTGAATTAGCTGGGCTCAGATGCCACTGGACAGTGGGCACTGAGTGACCACTATATCATAGCTCGTGAGAGCTACCCCCAGAGGCCTGCAGAGGCCAAAGGCATTTTGTCAGGGACCTCTAAATTTCATCTTTCAGGAAGGAAGGCAGGTGAGGGGGTTCCCAGGGGAGGGAGGACTTACGGGTAGAACTTCTGGGGCCACAGAAGTCACGGTCAGGCAGGGGCATGTGATCCCAGGGACCTTCCTCCTCTGAGTCCCAGGCACGGGAGACAGAAGAGCTTGGAGAGCAGGAGCGAGATTGGCACCCAGAGGAAGAGGAGGAGGAGGAGACCGAGGAGTTGTCCTCATCCAGCTGGTCAAATTTCCTCTTCAACAGCCCAGTCATGGTGGTGCACGGGGCGCTCTGTGGCCGGGACAGGCAACTGGAATGGGAATGAGAAGGCTCTAAGTGGCAGGCAGGCAGCAGCAGGTGGGCTCCCAGCCGGGATCCTCATCCCTCCCACTTGCCCTCTGAGGCATCCCAGACCCTGGCCTCTGCCCTCCAGCCCTCTCTGTGGAGCTCTGTGTGTGGTAGGGGACACAGTCTCCAGGAGAATCTCTGCACAAGACACAGAACCTCCCTCGCTCCAAACTAATGTGCAAATCCATGACCTGGAGTTTCAAACTCCCACCTCGGCCCAAAGCCTTCCCAGGCACCAGGCACCTTCCCCACCACCTCCTACAGCACACACACACACATGCATCCACACCAGCAGGGGCAGGAGGCAGACAGATCAGCAGATGGACTGGCAGACCTCAGCCTTGGCCTCACTCATTCCCCGACAGGAATCCTGGGGGCTGACTCACAGGCTGGGTGATTCACACAGCTCGCATCTGTGTGCCTGTGTGTGTGTCTGGACGCCCCACAGCTCCGCAGCCCGCACAGCCCGCACAGCCCCGGTATGCTGGCTCTGCTTCCTCCTCCTCTAGCACACCCACACAGACACGCCACCCTGCACACAGGCAGGGCTGCGGGCCCTTGCTCCAGGCTAGCCAGGCACTCTGGGGAACAGGCTGGCTTTGACGCTGGCCTCCACTCCTAGATGGAGTACGTTTCTGAGCCCCTCCCCTCCTGGTGTGGGAGCTTCTCAGACTTTCCCTTAGAAACCCCCGCTCCCCCGTCAAGAAGTCTCCTGACTTCAGGCCTGTGTGACCACAGCTACTCAGGATGTCTCTTTAACATCTCATTCAATCCTAATGTCCAAAGTCTCTCTCGTCTGTGGCTTCGTGACATGGAGCACCCCACAACACAACACTGTCTCCCGTGTGAGAGTCTCGGCCCTCAGCAGAAGCAGAACCAGAGACTTCCACAGCCAGCTGGCCTTATCCAAGTATAAAAGATTTGGGGTTCCTTCCCTGGAATGCGTCAACAAATAATGGCTCTTCCCAAGGCTTGGCAAACCCCAGAGGACTCAATCCCAAAGGCTGAGTACAGCTACCTTGTCTCTGCTGCTCCAGCTGTGCCTCTGGGGAGGTCAGCAGGGGGGAAAGGGAAAGGAAACAAGCTGAGGGCGAGGCCCCAGTGCTGGGGAGCCCTTCCCCCACTGCCATCACAGGAAATGAGAGAGAACAGGAAAAGCCAACCAGAAGGCTGCCTGGGTCTCCTCTACTCAGGTGTCTTTTCCAAACACTCCTTCCGCCTCTTCCCAGCTACCTTCAAAAGTCCCCAAATCCTGTAGGGTTTGCTGTCACCTTTACTAACTTGATGTTTACCCCAGGGACAGCCTCCCCTAGGCAGGCCTGAGAGAAGCAAGAAAACCTCCCTCCCGGGCCGATCCCCCACCCTGGGCCTGGGGGAAGAAGACTCACAGATGTTTCCGGGGGCTTCTCTGTGGGTAGTTTCTCAGGCTTGGCACCCCCCTCCAAGGGTCAAACCACAAACAAAAACAACCCAGCTCCCAGCTGACCCGCAGGCTCTCCCAGGAGGTGGGGGATTCATGTCCCAGAGTCAGGCATACACACACGTACACACATGCACAGACCACACGGAAACACACATATGGACAAGCGACACCCACACATCCTGTCCCCATCGCATCCTGCCAAGAGACCCCATGCTTTCCCAAGTTCCAGATGCCATCTACAGGGTCCTGAATGCCTCCTTTACACACAACCAGCCTGAGACCCCCAGGACCCACTGCACACTTGGTATCTCCACCCAGCCATCCCTTAGAAACATACAATTCTGCAGGCCCCAAATCGAACCCCTTGTCTCTGTTCCCCACCCCCCATGCCATCTGTTCCTCTTCCTGTGTTCCCTATCTTAGTAACAGCCCCGCCACCCACCCAGTCACTCAAGCCAGAAACCTGCAGTCATCCTCAATTCCTTCCTCTATCTCCCTCCGTCTACACCCAGGCGCCCGTGCCTGGGAGTTCACGCAAATCCATTTAATCCACACAAAGCCAGCAACAGACCCAGTAGGTATCGTGGAGGCCACCTGGCACAGTGTTAAGAACCTCGGCTCCAGAACCAGACTGCCTGCGTTTGAACCCTGGCTCCACTATTAATTGGCTGGGTAATCCTGGGCAAGTTCCTCAACCTCTCTGTGCCTCCAATTCTTTGTCTTAAGACCTCACAGGGTTGAGAGGTTTAGAGGAATCGATACATCTCACGTGTTCTTAGATTAGTGATAAGAGCTCAGTGAATGTGTTATTCCACACTGTAAAAAAAAAAAAAAAAAAAAAAACACTGCGCTCCAGCCCCTGGATGCACACGACACAGATGATCTCACAGACATCGTGGAGTGAAAGAAGCCAGACACGAAATACAGGCAAACGTTCACAAATCCGTGATGATTTAAGTCACAGCAGTGGTTCCCTCGAGGGAAGGGGATGCCCTGGAGACAGTAAATTTTCTGGGGTCGGGGGTAGGAGGGGCTGTAAAAGTTCCACGTTGATCTGCATGGTGGTTACATGGATGTCTAAAATTGCAAAACTTCATCTTACATACACACAAGATTTATATAATTGATGTATTTTATTTAGGTTACTGTCAATCTAAAAAGTTTACTAACCTTAACATGCCTCTGTCCCTATAGCTGCCACCCCATGTCCCTCTGCCCCTGCCCTCTTTCCCCGGCTGTTCTTGATCCTGCAGCCAGAATGACCTTCATAAACCACACATGTACCTACCACTCCCACGCCTAGAACCACTCTAGAGCTCCCCTTGGGGAAGTCTGACCTTAGGATCGAGTCCAGAATTAAAAAAGCTGAAGCTGACCCGGCCACTGCTTCCCTCTCTCGACGCTGCTCTCTACACTCCGGTTGAACCTGCAGTTCCCCTGACAGCCACCCACGTCCCCACTCACCTCCTGGCCTCTGCACAACCCAGCCTCACTCCCTTTCAGAAAGTCATCTCTCAAGGAACCTCCTGAATCCCCCACTCCTTCCCCCTGCATCTCTGCGCTCCTGCTGTGAACTGAGTATCTGTATCCTACCAAAATTCTTATGTGGAGACTGAATCCCCAGTGTCATGGTATTGGGAGGTGGGGCCTTTGGGAGGTAATCAAAGGCCTCACCTCCAAATAAAATAATAAGGTGTCATGAATAACACCTATTAGCGCCATTATAACAAGTGACACAAAAGAAATGGTCTCCCTCTCCAACATGTGGGCTCAGACCCAGCAAGAAGGTATCCATCTGCAATCTGAGAACAGGGCCCTCATCAGGCTGACTGGAGCCTTCATCTTGAACTTCACAACCTCCCAAGGTGTGTTCTTTCGTGTAAGCCACCCAGTCTACGGACTTTCTATTATAGCTGCTTTCAAAAGCCCTGCTATTTCCCCATCACAGACCTTATCTGACCAGCCTGCAAGGGTCTCATTGCTCATCTGCCACACGCTGAGGGCATCTCTGGCTGCCACTGTGCCCATACCCAGGACAGTGTCTGGCATAGAGAGGGCACCTGATAATATCAGAGGTAGGCAGACCAGCCCTGCATATTGGGTACGGACCCGATTGCACAGGCAATCCTATGCACATGAGGTTGCTGAGGGCGAGTGGTCAGTGTGACCTTCTCCTGCTTCTGTCATGGTTAATTTAAGGGGGGAGGAGGTGAGTCACATGTCTATCTCTCAGCTGTGCCAGAGGGTACAAGCAAGAATGGTGCTCAAAAGGGCTGGCTCTGGGGACAGAGAGGGAAGCTCTGCAGGCAGGTGCCAATGTAGGCAATCCCAGGAGGCTCCCTGTTCCCCAAGAGGAGACAGATGGAGAGAGATGTCAGGAAAGCAGGCTCAGCCACACACTGCGGCTCTGCCTCAGGGAAGTCCACAGAAAAAGAACTTAAGGTGAGGAGTGATGACCTCCAATTCTACAGGCAGTGACACAGAGACACAGGGAGGCTACGGTCATGCAGCAGGTTCTAATGATGAACAATGCCTCGCAAATCTGCAGAGCTGGAATGAAACAGAAATTACCTCTGCCCTGTCCTTTCTCCTCTGGACAGAGAGAAGGGAAAAAGTTCCCCTGGTTCTCGTGTTCCTCTGTCCCACCTGGGAATCCAGAGGCTAAGAAGCAGAGGCAGGAGATGAAACAAAAAGACTGAGCCAGAGACCCCGGAGAGGCCAAGTCAGAAGGGGGAATGAAAGATAGTGAGAATCTAAGAAAAGTGTCAGACAGTGAGTCAGAGGGTGGGGGAGGGGCCCTCAGCAGCTACCCAGGAATCACGATCCTGACCGTGGCGCTGTTCCCAGGCTGAGCTCAGCCCCTCCTAGGGTCCCAAAGGAAGGAAAAGCAGCTCCCAGGAGCTGGCTCAGACAGAAATACCACACCATGGAGGAACCCCAGAGACAGGCCCTGAATCAAAGAGAGCCAGGCTTCTTCTGGGATCTCAGCCCTGAGAATCGGGCAGCCCTCCTGCCACCACACGCAGGCACTGACAACCTCCCACTCTACTGGCCACAATTATCTACACGCTCAGATCACACCGTTCGGATCCAGGAAAGGCCACATCACCCCTGGGCACCAAGCAACCAAGGGCTGCTTTTGAGAGGTGGGGGCGGGGCTCAGAAAAGTCACAGCAAGTCCTCTGTCCACCTCGGCAGTCTCAGCAGTGCCCCAGGCCTCAGCCCAAGCCAGTCTTAGGGAGGGGGCACCTTTAGCTGCCTCCATCCCCCTTCAGGAATCTGAAGAATGTGTCCTTTAACCTCAGAGCCCCAGGCCTTGGCCAGTCCCCCCAAAACACTTGGGGTCACATGACCCCTGGCCCTCAGGAACAACTTCCTGGGAGAAGGGGAGGGCACCTCCTAGCACTTCTAGCCCCCACTGAAAAACCAGCCTGGGTGGTCCAGAGAGGGCAGAGAGAAAGCCTTGGCACCTCCTCCCCCAAGCATCCCTCTGAAGGAGAGCTGGGGGAGGGACAGTTCCTCAGCTCTGGCCTCCAGGACCTGGCACAGGAAAGGTGCCAAATGTTTGCTGGCTACATGAGGCACTTGTTCCTGCAGAAGGGAAATTGCACCTGACAATGACTGCTTCCTTCACCTAAGAGGGGCTTCTTCCCTCTCTCATTCATTAATTCAACAAATACGCACTAAGCTCACATACGTGTCAAACACGGTGGCAGGAACTCGCGCATGCAGGGCGCAAAACTTACACCGCTGGGGCCTTCTTGAAGCTCTGAGTTGAGCGGGGAGGACAAACAGGGTGCTGGGATGGGGGGTCTGAAGGGTGGGACAGGATACCGCTGGGGTGAAGGTAGGTCTCTCCGAGGAAGGGCTGTAGGGAGAGCTCCAGACAGGGGCTCGGCGTGGGTAAGGAAGCTGAGCAAACTGGTGATCGGAGGAGGGGCGGCCTCGAGGGGGCTGAGACTGGGCTCCAGGGCAGGTTTCAGCCCGAGGGCACGTCAAGCCACAGAGGGCTGAAGTAGGGAGTGACAATGCCAGCTTTGCATTTTAAAAACGTGACTGGGCACCGGGAGTGGAGGGGGTGTGACGGCTGGAGGCGCAGCGGGAGCCAGGTGAGATGACAGGTCCAGGGCAGATGCGGGTGCGGGGCTGGAAGAGGGCAGGGCTGCCAGGGGTGCGGGAGCTGATGAGTTACTCTCCAAAAGGCTTGAGACTTCTGCGGGGAAGTGCTGGGTGGGCAGCAGGAGGCGGGGAGGGACCCTCTGGTGTCAGGAGTGTGGGCTCCGGCTGTGTGTGACTGTGCCGGGAGTGGGAGAGGCTAAGTGTGTGACTGTGGCTGTGGTGTAGGCATCTCCACAGCGTGTGCCCGTGAATGGGCCCCGGGGAGGAGAAACTGAGGAAGGGGGAGAAGTACGTGCCGCGGAAGAAGTGCGTGGGAGAGAGTCTACGTGTGCCCGCGGGTGGCCGGTGTAGCTGCGCCCGTGACTCACAGCGGTGGCCTCCGAGAGTGACGGCGACTGACAAACAGGTGAGCCTACGACACAATCCCTCCCCCACCCCCCTCCTCCTCCCGGGGTCCGTGACTCATCCGCCTCCGTCCCGCTCATCCCTCCACGCCCTCCCCGACCCCTGCCGGCCAGGGGCGCCTGGCACACGCCGCTGCTCCCGCGGCGTCCCCGAGGGGGGAGCCCGAGGAGGAAGGCGACAAACGTCACCTGCTCGGCCACGCGAGGAACTTCTGAAAAGTTCTCAGGCAACTGGGTCAAAAGGAAACTCGCCCGCGGGCGCACGCCCCCGTCGCCTCGCCGCTGCCGCGCACGCCCGGCTCTGTCCCCACTCGCGAGCTCGGGGCGCCGCGACTTCTCTCGGGGTGCCGGCGGCGGGCGGGGGCGGGGAGCGCAAAACCCGCGACTCCCCCCGCCCGGGTCCCGGGCCCCTGGCCCCTGGCCCCCGGCCCCCGACTCCGGCCGCGGCGCGCAGTCAGGGCCGGGCAGCGCGGCTCCCGCCCAAGGTGCCGGGGAGCGAACCGCAGGGGCCGGAGCGGCGGCGCCGCTCGCGCTGAACGCCCCCTCCCCGGAGTCCCGGCCGGGCCCGAGGCCCTCGGCGCTCACCTGGATCCGGACGCTCGCGGAGGACACCGGCTCCACCTGCGCCCCGGCCCGGGACTTCCCCCGCGCCGCGACTCTGCGCTCGGCCCGGCGGCCGGCGGTCCCGCAGCCCCTGGCGACGCGCGTCCGGCAGCGGCGGCGGCGGCGGGAGACTGGAGACTGGCTGCGCCCGGCCCCGCCCGCCGCTC